ACCTATAGTTTATTCTGGAGATCTATGTCTATATAACTCTATCTTAAAACCATGATCAGTGACCATACACAAAAATTACTATTATTATAGGTAATAGGCATACTCATTAAACCAATAGTGTCCTAAATTAGGTAGGTACCTCAGAAAAAAAATTATATTGAGTGTACTCTGAAAATATTAAAATGATACCTAATTCAACTGAATAATTTTGTAGATAATATATTAATATGGGATTGAGTTCATTCTCAGCTCTATACTTAGTACTTACCCTATAAATAATTTTTGAATTACGAATTACGAATTACCTCCCTAGTACCCATTCAATTTAAATATTTAATACTTTTTGAAATTGTTTTCCGAAAATAACTTCAAAGATATAAACTGCTATGCCTACTTACCTAGTTAACTATTAACTAAAATCTAAATAAAGGTTAATTCAATTTGAATACATTTATTAATTTCTCTTCCTATATGAAGTAATTTATTAACTATAATTTCTTAGAAAATAATAATTATTAAAAACTTTAGTAAATTCCTTATAATATTATTGTATTATACTATAGGTTCCTTGATGATGGCCTCAATCCAGTATTCCAGTATTTTATTTCTCCCACTTTAATAATTTAACTTAGGTTACATAATTTATTAGATATATTTTGTAGTCTTAAAATATATATTTGTATGGTATTAATGTTACTTAGTACCTACCACGTAACACAATAGCACGAATTATTATTTAATAATGATACCTACCTATATAATAGTGACCAAACAGAAAAGTTAACATATTATGGTATTGAATCCAACCATAAAATATATTATTCAATACCGTAAATTACCTAATTCAAATTATCGAGATTTAAGAATAGGTATCTATTTACAATTACATTTTAATATCTAAATCATTATGAATAAAAAAACTACGAGTTACGATTTTATATTGTAGGTACATAAATGTTTAATAATTAATATTATTATAAAATATTAAAATATACCTACCTGGTAGGTCTTACCGGCGTACCATAATCGGTACATAACATGCAAGATTTGTATCGGTAGGTAGGTATGTAAGTATGTTACTACCTACCATTGATTATTATGAATAGGAAGGTACCTACTAATATTAGTATGTAATAATAATAATAATAGTAGGTATTCATAATCACTGCTACTACCATAAAGTATATACTATTGATATTTTTAAATTTAAGAAAGTTAATTTAGCATTAATTATATCGATCTAATCTAAATGGGTATTACCTACCAATAATTTTAAAAAAGCGGGTAACTGGGTAACGCTCTGCTGTACATTATGTGTATAGAGAGTAGAGTCACTGACCTAATTAAGTGGGTAAATTATAATTGGATGTGTTAAATTTGAATTCAATGATATAAAATCATTATACTTATATGAAAAACATTTCTGAGCAAAGGCTATTACTATAAAGTCAGCCTATATAATGTTACTAATTATATTTGATGATATGATTGTGATTAAAACAATTTATTTTACTATAAGGCATTATTACAACAGTAGGTTAAATTCATTTTTGCAAAATAATAATATTTGAAAACTTCATTGTGTGTATAAAATAAAATAATAATAATATACTCTAAAAGTGTCATATACCCACCAGTAATATTTTTAAATCAACACAAAATAACTAAAACCGTTATTCTTGGTTTAAATGAGTAATTTCGTTCAAATATTAACCTAAAATGAAGGCATATAAAAAATAACTATTCGAATCAAGATTGTTCTCAAAACTTCCGGAAAACCTCTTAGAATCACTCGGATACAAGAGATCTTCACTAGCAGCCACTATCGAATTCATAATAAAAGCAATACTTCAAAACAAACTGTAAAGCCTGTATAAATTGTTCACAAACTTATCTGTACACCATTAGAAATAAGTTACATTAAATAATAACTGTATTGTATCCCTATTATCTATGTCGCCGAGAGTAATTTTTATTAATAAAAACTAAAAATAACTATGTTTATATACTTTTTAGATTTGTTGGTTACATAATGAACTATTTATGACAATACTTGTTTTAAATTTTCAATCCTTAACTAAATAACCCAAAACGAGTCAAAGTATATTAAAAATTTTATCATGTATATCAAATGATAAAATAAACATTTTATGAAAATTTCAAATAGGTAGGTACCTACCTACAGTTATTAGTTTTTGAATAACAATAGAAGAATTTATTAATTTACAGGTGAATATCTAATGTTTCACTTCAAACACACGTAAAAAATTAATTTGACTTCCCTCAAACTTTCTTTTTTTTTTGATAAATGTAGGAAAACTTAAAATTTCCAAAGCTTAAATAAAAATAGAACATTTTTTATGAATTTCTAACTCAAATAATTTGTCAATTTTCGTGATTTCGATGATTTTTGTCAAAATTATAAATGTTAAATGTAAAAATGACTGGATTTACTCTCATTTTTTTTTTAAATTTTCTCTAACAACAACTTTTGAGGAACGTTGTATTTTACATTTTTTTACAAGTTTTTTGCAGACCAAACAAAAAAATTTTTATCGACAATAATTTTTAAAAGAAACTAATAAAACTTGAAATTTTCTTATGTCTATAAATAACTCAAAAAGAGTCGCAATATTTGAAACATTTATCCAGCATAAAAATTTCTATTTTAAAAATTCAGTGAAAATTTCATGTATCTACGGTTTTTAACTGGTTTTGCTTAAAAATCTCAGCTTTTTCTTAATATTTGTTTGTTTTTCCTGACACTTTCGAAATCTATTGAGTAGCTTTATTTTTGACCCCCTAAGGCCCTAAAGTAAAAATTATAGATTCACTTTACTGTCAGGAAAGATGCTGTTGAAGAAAATAGAAGCATTTTTAGTATTCCAAAAGATGATGACACACAAATAAAAATGAAAAAAAATAAACACACATTATTGTAAATCAATACATTCATCGCTCCGTTCAGAATTTAATATTAGTTGAATATTTTGAATGGGTCTCTATTTTTTATAAATTATTTGTTAATTCTCACTGGCCCATCAAAAATAAATGATTTAATTACGTATATTATTTCCTTATTTTAATTTACAATAAGATACCTAAATAGGTATTTAGTGATTGTGAAGATAGTTTGGTACACAGACATAAATACATAATATAATGTGGTAATATAATATTAGGTTAATGCACGTAGGTAAGTGATGTTAAATTATTTAATGTATTATTATGTGAAAAGTTATTTTATTTGTAAAGTTATATAATATATCATAATATTATATTATATTAAGGTAGTGATGAATACCAGGTGATTAACTAACTTTGCGTTCAAAATTTGATTCAAACGAATGTACTACATCAAAATTTTAAAAAAAAATTAATATTTTACGACTTACTAATACATAGATTAAAAAATGTAGTGTCGTTTAAAAAAGTGCCTAAATAGGAAAAAATTGAATTTTTTAAAATTAGTAGTTTTATGTGACCTCAAATCATGTAACAAAAATATTTCCGAAAACTTTTATAATTTTCGAGATAATGAGTGTTTACTGTTAAAGAAATCACCCGGCTATACAATGTCATTATATAGGTTAAGCATATAAACTACGTCGACCGCTACAGTGTCCATTCAATGTTATTCCAATTATTATCAATTAAATAAATGTTGAACGAAAATGGCAATAATATCAATATTGACTAGTTCATTATGAGTTTAAGTGTATAGGTATAAAGATTAAATTAAATGAATGGCATTGAAAAAAAATATATATTTCCGGTCTGATATTAGTCTAAATTTCGTTACCATTTACCACTAATTACAAATAATATCAGTAGGTACCCACATATTAATAGGAAAGAAATAATCAAAAATTAACTTTGTCAATGTTTATATTATAATAAATGTTACTTACCTATTATCTTATTTCTTGTATGATTATTGCTTATAAACGTATAAGAATTATTGATACATATAATACATAGGTAATAAATAATAATAAATAATATTACTTAGGTATTATATTATAAAATCATTATTGTAACTTGTAATTTATAGGTAGGAATAATATACGGAAATTAGAATAAATAACTATATTTTGTATAACTGGAAAATTATGACAGGAAATATATAAAACTGAGCCAGGGGCGTACCCAGGAATTTTTCAAAGGGGGGTCCAAATTTTATTAACATGTATACAATCTGCAGTGGTCTGCACCTTTAATTTTATATACTGCCAATGAACGCCCCTGAACTGAGATACCTAACAATAAATAAATTCAAAAGTAGGTACATATCTACTGTTTTTTTATATATCCGACTAAACCATTGAGCTTCATAAAATGTCCATCACAGAATCTGATTCATAACTTTGAATGTTTTAGGTATGGGTATTATAAAAGGTTTTTCATTTTACAGTTTATGTAATTTACGATACGTACGTATTACCAAATTCAAATCTGAAAATTGATTTATCTATATACACGTATAACTCCAATTTTCGATGAAAAAAGTATAGATTAATTTTAACAATATTATATACTTGTAGGTATAGGTACAGTTATACC